GGGCAATATTTTTTCTGAAACTTCCTGTCACCTTAGAATTTTCAATCCAGATTTTCTGTAATACTCCCCTGGCTTGTACACAATATTATGCTATAATTACAAGAAATATATTATTGAGTTTTTTTGCTAATGCCAGTAACAAATAGATCAGTGTTTTTTATCTGCCACATGCAAAAAATTTGTAAGTCCCTTTTAGAACCTGACAGTGACTCTGAGCTTAAAGTGTAATATACTAAACGGTTTTCTAGAACAGGGTAATATCATTAAAAAATAGCACAAATATTTAAAGAACTATGACAGGCAAAATTTTTTGAAAACCTATCCTCTTAAAAACCCTATGAAAGAGAGTCTCAGCTGAAACATCCTTTTTTGTGTCTAAAGTAGCAGCATGGCAACATATATTTATTGCTGATTCAAATCAAACTGTGTTTATTTTAAAGCATGCCAGATACATGTCATTTAAAGCTAATGGCTAGTTCTCAAAGCTTAATTGCCTGTGTGATTTTGTAGAGAAGAAATATCAAGTGATTTCATGTATTACTAGTTTAACAAAAAATGAAATTCAATTAAAATTAATCATGAATACCGGTGGGTGAAACACTGTTAGATACACCTTATGACATTTTTCAATTATGAGTATATATCAATTTTTAATAGGTAACTGTGAAGAACAGTTCATCAATTTTCTAACTACGTTATATTTCCACTTCCACTATATGACCTGATGTCTTCTGATTTGTGAATGAGATGGCAGTCACCACTGACTGTTTCTTCTTCCAGTATGGACAAATTGGTCCATTCTCTGCAACCTCTATCTTATCCCTGGCAAGGTTCCTCAATAAGGTGCTTCTCTTTGTCAAAGTGGATAGCATACCTTGAAACCAAACTTTCTACCATACTCTCCATAGAAATTTTTATAGATGCAATACAGATAACATGTGCTATTAGTTTAACTCCTTCATGAAGACAAAAATCATAGTTGAAAAAATTTCATCAGTTTCATGCTTTAATTCCCACATCTGGAATGGCTTTGATTGAATCTGTAAGTTTTCTTGTTTGTTTAAAAATCTTCCATCATTTCAATGCCCAGCTACAACTGCTTCCTCATTTTTAACCTGAATTGCCAAAGATTTCAAATCTGTCACAAATTTTCTGTTAGATTGTTATAAAATTTCCTAGAAAAATCAGCCAAGACTCAATTCATTGAGTCTGTTGCAAGAATCAGTTGCTGCAGATTTCTTCTTCCCAATCTCATTTGAGCTTCTTGTTTTCCATCATGTATTTTCCATTGGATAATAAATAACTAGCCCAATAGCATAATTCTGGGTTTTTGTTTTCAGTGACATCCTACTGATAGTATCTGTCAATGCATTCAGAATTATCAGCTGTTAATTGAGCTGTTGTATCCAATTACTTCTCAATGCCCATCGTAGAATCATATCTTTCATGTAGAAAAATGTTCACTTTTTGATGTACATTTAATCATCTAAACCTGACAAATACAGACAAAAGTTTTTGTTCACTGTACTCCTCATCAGCTTTTGTGCATCTGATGCTTTTTCTCTTTCTTTCTTTGTGATTATTCTGCTAAGACATTCAACAATTAACTGCCTTGTAGTCTAGTCTCAAATTGATAAAGACAAAACTAATGCTGTTTGCCATCTGGTTGGTTGAAAATTGTGAAGATATCTCATGGTTTGCTCCAACATTTCACACACTTCAACCAACAATTCATAATTATCTTAAACAGTTAAACTTTTTATATATTTGACTGCAAGTTGACTGTAGACTTACCAGCCACTTGAAGGACTCATATTTTCAGACATTTTCATCAACAATTTCACCTCTGTGAAGTGTATCCCAAGTGCTTAGTCTCTGTGATGTTCTGGAACTTTAATTGAAAAGTAATATCCATTATAGCTTCCACCTTTCAACTAAGAACTCTTTATCTTGAACCTTTTAATCTGATTTAGAATACTTTGCACAATTCTCTGATCTCTGTGACCCTTAACAACAGGCTAATCCGTGTAGACCAAGAAAATCAGATTGTCAGGATCTGGAATAACAGTTACAGCTTGAACATCCACTATCCAGATGGAGAAAACTTGTTATTGTGCTGAAAAATTTGACCATTTTGATATGGACTTGATCTGCAACGTAGGAAAAGTATTGTCTGGAAAAATGCCATGATTGGTTCAAATCCCCATGTCAAGTCCATTTGTGACTGCTTTCAAGGCCTCTTTTTCAAAGGATTTGAGACTTTGCCATTTAGTATTGTAGCAGAGGCTTTCAATTTGGATGCTTGGAGGAAGAAAGAGAATGAAAGGAAAGCATTCATAACCAGGAATATATAGAGGAAGGGAAGAGAATTGCTTTTTGGGAGTTTACTTGAGGTTGCAAAAGCTATTAGGGATATTTTCATTCTTCTCAAATTGAATACCATTATCTGAAGAGTAATGACATTTTCCAGAAGTACTAGTTCGTTTATATGGAGAACAAAGTGTACAATAAAAACAACCATCTTCACTCAATTATTCAAGTTCAGAGAAATGATGCAGTAAATCATTTACTGACGTACAAATGATGAGCAATTTAGTTAATTCATTCTTTGGGCTTCATCTTCTGGTTTGGCTATCTGTGGAAGAACTTTTTTTCAATCTTTAATTTAAGCTCATCAAATATCTTCTTTAAGGTACCTGTTAGCATAAGTAACACTTTATCCAAATCTCTCTAAGTCAAGGATTTCACTTGAAACTGGGTAAGTTGGAATGTCCTACAAGATTTGTTTAGTTGAAGGAAACTTCCTTGGTAAAATATAAAATAAACTTTTCGTGGCCCCATACTTTACACATACAAAAAAATCTATATTTTTTACTGTAAGGATGAATTGTAGTAGTCACACATAGGCAAATGTCCTGTGCATCATTCATAAAATATATTTCAATATAATATTTCTTTAACCCAATGTGAATAAGGTCAGTGGATTTGAACGACTCCATAAGGCAAAAGTGATGTTAGCTATAATTCAGAATTTATTAAATATAGCTTTATTAAATGTGCAAGCTTTTAGTCAACAATACAAGTCTGTTGTACACAAAAAATCAAATGTTTCAATATAGTATTTTTACTAGAAATATGTATGTGAATCAGTGAAATCAGTCGGACTCAGAAGCTGAAAAGGCAGATGAAAGTATTGATTTTGCTGTAGAAAAATATGGATCTAAGATGACAAATATGCTAGTAAGTTTACTCACTAATGGTACCATAGTAACAGTAAAAATATTGCCCTGAAAGAGGATATCTGAAACTAGTACCGATGGTAACAGAAGCATTCAAGGTAGGTGATGTTAAGTAACTCAGAGTGTGGTCTTTATATTGTACATAAAAATCTATTGGGGATCTTGCAAATGATCTAGCTGCAAGTACAGGTTTGGATGTTACCTTCAAAATAGTAGGATATCACATTAGCATGAACTGACCACAAAGAATATGTAGCTGCTGAAAGGCCACTGCTTAGGAAATGTAGCAAAGCCAAAAGACTGAAATTAGCATCACACTTTAAACAAAGAGACGAGAAAAGCTTGAGAAAGGCATTCTGTACACGTGAATCCAAGTTCAAACTGTAAACGATGGTTTATTTGAAGGCAGAGAGAAGAAAATTATCATGTCAATGTAAAACATTTACTAGGGAACCAATACATCTAAGCTAGCAGTGTTGAAGATCTACATGAAGATAATGGCACCGTTACTGCTGACAAATAAAAGCATATTCTTAGCCATCATTTCATTCCCTTGAAAACAAGACCTGTTAGGTGGGGGTTCATCTTTCAGCACAACAGTGATCCCAAACATGCAGCAATTGTGATGAACAAACCCTGGAAGGAAAGACAGGCAGGTGGTACGTTCACAACCTGTCGTTAAATCCCCGTGGAAACTGGGAAAGTCGGATAGAAACCAAACACCTCTGCTGAGTTGTGGAGAAATAATACAGTATTTCATAGTCTTACATTAATAAACTTTAAAAACAAGGTGTACTGTTCTATTTAAAGCAGGCACAAAATACTGGTTCATGGTGTAGTCTATTTGCTTTTCTGTTGTATTATCTGTAATAATGTATTGTACTAATTATAACTTGACCATTTGGTTGTAATTATGCATCGTTTGTGACTCTTGTATATGAATCACCGCACATTCCCATACTTATTTCCAATACTGTATACATTGAAGTACATATATATATGTAAACTCTGTCATCTGGTTATTTGATTTTATAACCTAGTGTTCTAACCTTTCTCTGCTATCAAACAAAAGAATTGTGTAGGAGGTATCTAAATTATTGCCCTAGTTTCACAGACAAACTGTACTATATGTAGTTACCAGAACATTTTTATATTTTCCCACAAATAATTTACAGTTATTAACATTTTCAATGAGTAATAAGCACATTTCAGTATAGGTTATATAGCACACATATCAAGGGTAATGTAGTTAAACATGTAACCAGCATATTTCAGTATGGGTTATATAGCATACATGTCAAGAGTAACATGGTTAAAAACTACCAATGTGCAATCTCACAGTTCTTTGATAGCAGTTGACATGTGAGCACAAACGTAATGTCTTTGAATACTATTCAAAGGGAAAACGAAATATAGAGGCTATATCTGGGCAATAAGATGGCCTGGTCTTTCTCCAGGAATGCCTCTGCTTTCTCTTTCCCATTTAAATTAAGACATTCAATATGTTAAAGAGTCCTCTTTGTTACATAGGATGGCAAAGGACCTTGATATTAAAGTTCTACCCCTCTAGTCAATAACGGTTTTCTTTTTTTTCTGGAATGTCAAGATTCTTCAACATTTCATGTTTAGTAGTTATATATCTGAACTCTGTCAACAAACATAGCCAAACCTACCTAGTCTTTTGATAACATTGGCAACTGAAAGATCTGGATATGCAGATAATTTTAACATCATGCTAAGGTCATTTAAAGGTGCAGTCAGTCAGTTTGGAGTGTTCTCGAAAGAGAAATATTTTGATAGCATATATGGCTTTAGCATCCAATGTGCTCCGGAAACTCTGAATGTCTCTTCAGAGGGAGCCTTCCCTCCTATAAACACAAGTGAAAGTTTCAAGAGTTCTTTGTAATCATCTCTGGGATATGATTTCATTTTTAACATCTTATTCAAGTAAAGCATTACTTTGTCCCTTTCCTATTTCATTGTGCTGATGAAGAGAAGGTGAATATCTTTGTCATCAGCAGCCCTGAACTGAGATTTGTCAAGTGATGCCCATTGTGTTTGGAATCTCTTAAACAGACTGGTTTTTGGTCCGCTCAATGGACCAATAGTCCTGGCAAATACCACTGGAAGCATAATTTCAAATATATGGTGTCGGCAGTCAATCCAAACAAGATTTCTTAAAATAACTTGTTCAATCAAGATGCAAGCAAAGCACCCTTAGCCTAGTGTTTGATGCATTGTATTGAAACAGATTCCTCAAGAGACATCTTACAGCTTCCACTCTTGAAGGACACAAACATCTGCTTGCTGCTTCTCTGTGCTATGGGTGATTCTTGGCACTCCCAGGAGCTTCTCTTCTCCAGCTCCAGTCACAACAATAGCCATCTCATGGACTTTCTCTGTCCCTTGAATGATGTCAGGAAGAAGCTTTACGTCCCAATGAAGTACAAGGGAAGGATATGGGGAGAAAGGTTCCTGATGTCTTTTGGTAATCTCTTCCAGATTCATACAGTCTGAGTGACTGAACAGCAGCACTGAGGGCGAATGTGACCTTTCTGTCCATCAGGTTCACACGATATAAGGATATATGAGACAAGGACTTTGGGTGCCAGAAGTGTTGGGTGGCTTGAATGCTAAGTTTTTTTCATCTGTTGTGTCAGCTGGATCAAACAGGACCAATTGATTCAATCAAAGTTTGTGCTGAAGCATCCTGTTGTAATGGTTTTTCTACCCATGTTTTTTCTTTCAAGTCCCGTTTCTGCTTCCTAGACTATCTCTGAGTGAGGAGCTTGCCAACACATCTGAGGCTTAAAATGCTATGTCTTCTTTTTGCAGGGCTAGGAATTGTTTATCTTCTTCATTCTTCCTTTGTGTGAGAAATGTCAAATAACTCATTTAAATCTCTGCAAAAGATGCCCTCCTTCATGTGGTAGGTTTTTTGGCTTGTTCTTGCTCTCTTTCAGGACTATGTACTCTGCCATCAACTTTTCTAGCTTTAACACGACATAGTTGCAAGTTCTTGTCAATATCCTAGCTTTTTGCCAACAAACAAAAGCTGCTTCCACAGCCAGACGACAGCTTTCTCGGATAGTCTTCTTCTCTTCTACATGGTGAAAGAGACACTTTAAAATGACTTCCTTCAAAGGAAGTCTCAAGCACATATGATCAGGAGTAAGTTTCCCCACTAACCAAACATCGTCTTCATAGTAGCCATAACCTAAGGACATAAACAAAGGTAGAAATTGAAAGAGGTATTACTCTTTGCTCTGACTGCATATTATTATGGCTTTATGCTGGTTAAATAAGGCCTTAACCCTGTGCTCATGGATATTCTTAAAATTGATTCAGAGATATGCCAAATGTTAATTCAAAAATAACTTTAATTTATGATTAATATAATTGATGAACCATGTCCAGTTATAGGATTCTAAACAACAATTACTTATAATATATTTCTTTGCTAACAGTACAAATAGAACATATAAACACCATGCATAATTTTCTGAAATTAAGGTAAAAGAAAGAAGGACAAACCTTTCCAAAATAAGGTATATCTACACAGCTCGGTCGTCTGGAGAGAAATTAGTGTCATTCAAAGCATAAAAACTGTTAATCCTGAAAGCAAGAGTACAACGATTGAAAAACTGTGAAGTCATCTGGCATGTTGCTGAATTGCCGCCTCTTAAATCTAAAAACTGCATGGTACGTGACCTAGTTATATTGAATTATAAAATACTGGACATAATAATATAACAAACTTATGAGCTCATGCAACAGTATCATTGTTTGCCAACCAATAAAAAAAGGGCAATTAAAAAAATAAACTGGAGAAGTAAACTTGTAGCAGATTTCGTCTCACTTGCACTACCCTTAAATATTGATGTCTTTATTTCAGAATTCAGTGCGAGGTCTGTCTCCATATAAGGAATAAAAAAATGCTCTCATATTTACCTTTTCATTTTTTACCATATATGCACGGACCAATCTAATACACAAGTAATAAAAGATGTGATTGTCCTTGAAACTAAAAACGTTGGGAAAATAATTTGTAGAAAAATAAGAACTGGCTGGATATACAGGAATTATATATACAGACACACACATACACTTTCATCTTTGAACTGTTCTCTAACTTGGCAGAAACTGTTGTGACCTTTGAAGAGGCTATCATAGTGAAATATTGGACATACTGATAACATTTTTTGGGGTTATTGGTTTTTGATATTTATTGTTGTAACATGTTTTAGTCCAAAAGATGCAGAAAGGCTTAATGTAAATAAAGATAAAACTGAATATGTACATGACACATTCGGCAGACGCCCACAGAAATCAGTTGTTACAGCCCGCAAGGGAATGACAATGAGTCCACTGGACTAAAAGGAAGGTACTGGTATTGAATTATTACAAGTACATGCAGAGTTACAGGTTTACTTGCATAATGTTTAAATATTTGAAGAATGATGAAATAGTTTTAGACAATGAGATAAGATTACTTTTCACACATCTGGTCATATCAGTTCACCACAATATTTACACTTGGTGTATAGAAATTCCACATTTTATCAAAGCTACATCAACAACAATCTGGGCTATAAACAAAACAGTTTTTTAGTGCTTGCAAGGTCAGTGACACCTATAAATTAATCTTGCATTGAGGGGAGGTTTACGAGTTGTAGACATTTTGTGGAACATATCCAACCACTTCAAGACTATTTAAGGTACGCCCCCCCAGTGGCACATATCAAACCACTTCAGGACTATTTAAGGTATGCCCTCCAGTGGCACATATCAAACCACTTCAGGACTATTTAAGGTATGCCCTCCAGTGGCACATATCAAACCACTTCAGGACTATTTAAGGTATGTCCCCCAGTGGCACATATCAAACCACTTCAGGACTATTTAAGGTACACTTTGTTCATGAATCTATATGGCAATAGTTCTGTTCTAAATAGGGAAGTAAAGTGTTAATAATTTCTTTTATGAACTCGTATTGTTTCTAAGTGAAACCTAGTTGTTTTTGTACTGTGTTATGAATAACTTAGCCACTGTGATAACTTTGACTTCTAAGCTTTTAATGTGGTGACAAACTACTCTGGGGGGGATAATTCAGCCTTAATTGTCAGCAGTATGAGAACTTGTAGGGTAAAATCTCTGCATTACACACAAAGTAATGAATCTCTACATAGAAATTTTACAGATTTATTATTAGTCAAGTATAAATTATATATATATCTAACTGTATATTTTGTTTTCTAAATCCAAAATTTACTCTGTATTTTTAGAAAAAGAGCTTTTAAAAACCTTTATTTTTGCAGTGGCCCACTGGGAGGCCTGTAATTATGTACCAAGGCACTGATTCAAATTTGTAGTAATCATATTAATATACTTTAATGAAAGATCTTCTTGTCGTAAAATCATTAATTTGTGAATTTTATTTGCATGTTGTTGTTTTTCAATGTCTAGTTCATTTAATTTCATTCTACATGTAATTTGTTCATTATTTTATTGATGCCAGTTATTAAAAACATTTTTACATTACACATTTACTGAGTATAGAACAAAGCTGTAATGTGGATGGACACAAATATTATGCAAGGTTTGTTGAATGTAACACTTAAAATCATCAGAAAATAAAATTTGAATTAAACCATGTATATACTTTTTATTTGATGCTCATTTCTGTATTTATTTTGTTGACAACTGGTAAGATATGTGATGTTTCTGTATGTCTGCAGAGGTCATGCTAGAAAAAATACTATATTAGTATGGCACGATTTGTGGCATTTATCACTTACACTAAGTGGTCCTCTAGTTTTTAATCCATGTTGCTAGTTTTGTTAAACTTCCAGAGTAGATGGTTGAAATGAGCTCTCTGGTTTTAATCCCTATTGCTAGTTTTGTTAACCTTCTAGAGTAGATGGTTGAGATGAGCTCTCTGGTTTTTAATCCCTATTGCTAGTTTTGTTAACCTTCTAGAGTTGATGGTTGAGATGAGCTCTCTGGTTTTTACTCCCTATAGCTAGTTTTGTTAACCTTCTAGAGTAGATGGTTGAGATGAGCTCTCTGTTTTTTAATCCCTATTGCTAGTTTTGTTAACCTTCTAGAGTAGATGGTTGAGATGAGCTCTCTGGTTTTTAATCCTTATTGCTAGTTTTGTTAACCTTGTAGAGTAGATGGTTGAAATGAGCTCTCTGGTTTATTAATCCCTATTGCTAGTTTTGTTAACCTTCTAGAGTAGGTGGTTGAGATGAGCGTTCTGGTTTTTATTTCATTTTTTCAGGTATTTTCATCTTTTATATTAAATGCTTTAGGTGAGAGTTCTCTGGGATGTAACCAGTATTCTTAAGTGTACACCTCCTGAGGCAAACTTGCTGGTTTTTACTCCATAATATTAATTCTGTTCAGCTTCCGTATTAGGTGGTTCATCTAAACTATTTGCTTTTAGCCCATAAAATCAGTTGTGTTAATTTTCTGGTGTGGGTGGTTTAGTTAAGTTCTGACTTTTTACTATCCAGTGCCTTCAACTTTTTGAACTTGTAGTTGACTTAATCTTGCTGATTTACAGATATTGTCAGGTGTGTTCATCTTGTAGTATTGGTGGTTCAGTTAAGCCCTCTTGAATTTAGCCCAAATTGACAGGAATTCTAGTACATCTGGCAATTAGGAAAATAGGATGAGTATTATAATGAAAAGATAAGTTTTTATTGAAGTGTTTGCTATGTTTTATATATAGTTGTCTTATATAAACTTACTGTATATTGCCATAGTAGCTATAAAAAGGGCATTCTGTATGAAAACTTGAGTGGAATGAACTAAATGATAGGATTTTTTTTGATACAGTTGCAATGTTTGAAAAGCATTTTCTCCAAAAGAAAAAATATTTTGAACATTATTCATCCGAACAGTTTTATTTTACTTTTAACATTACACTGACAAAAAAAAGTGCCATTTTGTTGATTGATTGATCAAGAAATTAGTGAGATGTTCTGCCTTATTTTTTAAATCTTACTATACCTTCACAAGTTAATTCACTGTATTTCACAGCACACACACACACACATCATAGATATGGTAAAAAGAAAAATTGGAATGCAAAATAAACATGGCAGAAAATATGTTTTTACACAGGAGAGGAAGAAACTTAATTTTTGACAGAGAGGAAGTTTTCATCTTCATCAACATATATTTTAATGTAAATTTTGAAGAATGTTTAATAATCTGATGATGATGATAATTTGGTTAGTGATCGATATTTTATATATAATGTGATATGAAATCAATATTTATAGATAGAAATTTTCAAATAAGAAATATCTTGTTTACTTAAACAAGTCTTTTATTCTATTTTCAAGACCCTGTACAATCACCTGAGACTAATTATCCATTGTTTTGTGTGTTTATATTACAAAATACTACTTACTAACTAGTTGTTATCCTAAGCTTTGGCTGATAATCTGCTGCTGTCTTCAGGATCCTGAGAACGACTAATTATCCATTGTTTTGTGTGTTTATATTACAAAATACTACTTACTAACTAGTTGTTATCCTAAGCTTTGGCTGATAATCTGCTGCTGTCTTCAGGATCCTGAGAAGGATGTTTTTTTGTGGTAGCAGTGGTTAGGATTTTATCCTGGGTTTTTTTGATGGACAGGCTAATGCACGATCCACTTATCGTGGGTTTTGTACATTAGGACTTGAAACAGCTAACTTATTTCAATGTTTCAAGGGGGTAAGCATATTTTTATCAATATTTTTATTTTTGATTTTTATTCTATGATGACTGAGTGCATTATCAAGTAGTGGGATATAGAGGGTTTCTTTTATGTCCCCCACTGGCTAGTGAGGGGCCTGTTAAAACTAAATTTATGTTTGCATTTAATTATGCATAACACCCATTCTTTTAGTCTGTTGACTTACACTGTACATGTTTTGCCTCCCCCCTTGAAAATATTTCTGTGGGTGCCCATTTGATTATTCTTGATATTTATTGTCTTAATTTCTTGTTAATCAAGTATTCCAGTTATCCATTGTCAAAGAAGGTTGTTGCGATGTGTTTTTCTTGCTTCTGTTTAGCATTTTCTGTATTACAAATATTTTTCATTCTCATTATGATACCTATGTTTACAAAGTTAGGGTGATATGATTTATAACTGAGGTATTTACAAGTGTCTGTGGATTTTCCGGAAACTCTTTTGGTATGTGAATTAAGTGTCTTAGTAATCATGTTTGGGATCTGAAGTTTATCTGATTCTACTTCCATTGTGAACTGTATTACAGGGTGTTCTTTATTAAGAAGGTTCTTGAATCCTGGAATCACGTCTGTAGTATGTGGCTATATCACTAGCATATCTGGGACTTAAAGTGGCAGTTTTGATGGTGTTACATTTGAAATATTCCACGTATAGGTTAGTGAGTACTGGTGATAGGGGTGAACCCATGGATAAATCTTCTTGTTGTTAGCAGTATTTATCTTCATGTTAGAAGAAGGACATTGTCAGTTGGGTGCATTTCTTGAGAGTTCTGTCATTTTTCAAGCCCTTGGCAAAGTATTTGTAGTGTTTCAAGGGTTAGTACATTAGTAAATTGGTTGGATACATTGAAGTTGATCATTCTTGTGATGATATTGTAGTTGCTCTTATAATTTCTATAAAATGAACTGAGTTCTTAACATAAGAGAATGTTTTACGTGTTGATGGCATTATTTTTTCTACAAGATATCGAGCTAAGGTGAATCTGTACAGTTAACTGTGGTAAAGACAGGGTGGTCTTATTTGTGAATTTTAGGTAGAACATGGTGTATTGTTAGTTCTTTGACCGTTTATGTTTCAAGTTCTTTTGGATGTTTCTTCAGGATTTGGTTTAATTTTTTACTCTGTGTTAGACTATCTTTGTGTAGTGGCCATTTTTGGTTAGTTTTAATATTGATGGTGTATTCCTCTTTATCCATGATTACAGTGGCATTATCTTTGTCTTTTGGTGGAATTGTTATGGTGTTATCTTTATGTGTGGTTAGACTTGATCTTCATTTTCAACTAGAGTTTGGAGATTGATGGTGTATTCCTCCTTATCCATGATTACAGTGCCATTATCTTTGTCTTCTGGTAATTCTACCAGCATAAAAAAGTAATGCCATTGTAATCTTATCTATAAACTCAACAACTATTGAGAGTATGTCCTTTTCTTGAATGTTGGGATCCTGAACACCATGCAGCAGACACTGTCAATATAGCAGCAGCAACAATGAACTTTAAGAGTGTAATAATTCTATCTGTGTATGAACATAGCTTGGGTGCTAACAGCCATGCAACGAGTTGAAGTGTGCCCATCTCAAACTGGAGAACGTAGTTCTGACACACATTACCATCTTGCACATGTAGAGTCAGTTACGAGTTATGTGTTGTACTGTCAATCTGTGATGCAGCCAATGGTTCCCACAGTTCTAAAGCAAGAGATGCTATAGACTTTGTATAATGCAAGGACTGGAGGGTACGGGGAGTATAACACACTATTGTAAACATGTGAAAACGTAGAGAGATGGTGTGGACAACGTGTGCTTTTCAAAAGGCAAAATGATCAATTCATGGTTGTAAGTTCTTCAGAGAGTTTCTTTAGAGATAACTGGTTCTCTCTCCAAAACTCATAATTATCAGCTATTAGGCATGATTAATTATTTCACTCGAAACTTGGCCAGGTGGTTAGGGCGCTCAACTCGCAATCTGAGGGTCGCGGGTTCGAATCCCCTTTCCACCAAACATGCTCGCCCTTTCAGCCGTGGTGGCGTTATAATGTGACGGTCAATCCCACTATTCGTTGGTAAAAAGAGTTGGCGGTGGGTGGTGATGACTAGTTGCCTTCTCTCTCTAGTCTTACACTGCTCAATTAGGGACGGCTAGCTCAGATAGCCCTCGTGTAGCTTTGCGCGAAATTCAAAAACAAACATTCGAAACTTTTCCATTGGTTGATAGTTCCATGCAGTTTGCCGCCGATGTGTAGACTAAGCAACGAATAACACTTCGACAGCCAGTTATTTGCAGAGATTTGTCAAGTGTACATCAAACAATCCAAGAACCTACACTAATAATTAACATAATCGAAACATTTAATAGAATTCTTACCCTGCAATAAAATGATACGATAATCGTTTTGTAATAAAAGCCAAAACTCGGTATTCTTCTATTTAGATGCTGCTCTAAAATTGGTAACTGTCTATAATTTGCCTTTACTTTCTACGTGAAGAGTTCAAAATTATTACTATACTAGCTGGAGTACCCATCCCCTGGACGGAGGTTATGTTAATTCATGATTAATGAAAGGTTATCTTGGGACATGAAAAATTGCTTCCTATATACGTACTTGTAAAAAAAAAAACGCAAAGATGTCCATAAAAACTGCAAAACACAAAATGTGAAACAGCAAATTTGCATGTTTCTCTGCATGGACCCAACCGCCCCTAGTGGCACAGCGGTATGTTTACGGACTTACAACGCTAGAAATCGGGTTTCGATACCCGTGGTGGGCAGAGCACAGATAGCCCATTGTGTACCTTTGTTCTTTACTACAAACAAACCTTCATGCCAAATTTGGTAAAGATCCATCAAC